ATATAGATATAGATATAGATATAGATATAGATATAGATATAGATATAGATATAGATATAGATATAGATATAGATATAGATATAGATATAGATATAGATATAGATATAGATATAGATATAGATATAGATATAGATATAGATATAGATATAGATATAGATATAGATATAGATATAGATATAGATATAGATATAGATATAGATATAGATATAGATATAGATATAGATATAGATATAGATATAGATATAGATATAGATATAGATATAGATATAGATATAGATATAGATATAGATATAGATATAGATATAGATATAGATATAGATATAGATATAGATATAGATATAGATATAGATATAGATATAGATATAGATATAGATATAGATATAGATATAGATATAGATATAGATATAGATATAGATATAGATATAGATATAGATATAGATATAGATATAGATATAGATATAGATATAGATATAGATATAGATATAGATATAGATATAGATATAGATATAGATATAGATATAGATATAGATATAGATATAGATATAGATATAGATATAGATATAGATATAGATATAGATATAGATATAGATATAGATATAGATATAGATATAGATATAGATATAGATATAGATATAGATATAGATATAGATATAGATATAGATATAGATATGTATACATGTATGCATTTACATATATATATATATGAATTGTATTTATTAATTTATCTACTTATCTATTTATTTATGTGTGCCTACTATGTATCAGTTTGTTGATTTAGTTATCTATTTAATTCAAAAATGTATGCATTCGTAGATTTAATTTTTAAAGTAGTTTTGTAATGTGTGTGTTTGTTTATTATCTCAAAATATATAAAAATCATGATGTCGCCTAGAGAATGCTACTGATTTTTCTTTGTTAACGGTAAACATTTGAAATTCGTTATTTATCTGGCCCTATGTTAAAAGCTAACAAAAAAGCACAGTTGTTTCAGCATATTGTTTGTCATGTTTGCACAAGATAGTAATCACACTACATGAGATAAGTGGTGTTTCTTAGATTCAAAATCTTTTTTTTTTTTTGTAAAGTTAACAAACGACCCAGAATATAAAATGGCTGTTTTATTATTAGTTTCTACCTTTTAATAAGTTATGTATAAATGTTAACATTTTCAGGTTAAACATGGGTTGATTGTAATCAACGTGTGGTTTTTGTCACTACAAAGTATTTACATTGCATATTATAAAAATGCTTTTTGTAATGGCTATTTAAGAATGTTGATCCAAACTAAAACGTTACTTATATTGTAGTCAGTCAATAATGTGTGATCGATGCAATAGTGTACCAAAGCGGGGGTGGGGGTGACACCATCTGTAGTGGTGACACCAAAGCGAAAAAGTGCTAATTTAAATGAAAACAAAATCTGATTTTCTAGTTTAATACCGTATTTATTTCCATCATTAGGCACGGAGCGGCGCCATCGATGATGGGGATGACACCGAATTATTAAGGATTTTAGTACTTTATATATTGTCGTGAGCGGAGGGGAGGGGGGGGGGCTACCGCAGAATACACAAAGACAAAGTTTTAGTATCATGCTGCGAAAATATGCTTATATCTACATTTCACTATACTGCAGGTTTCTGTCGATATATAAGTATCGCGACTACCTTACACTAGATCACACTTCACATTTTGGAGACCGTTGTCGCTACTCTAGTAACAACATTTGTTGTCTCCCTTGCTAAAATCTCCACTCTCAGCGCCTATCATTTCACTAGTAACATTCACTATGACACGATACTGCTAGCCTGAATGGACTGCCTATATATATATATATATATATATATATATATATATATATATATATATATATATATATATATATATATATATATATATATATATATATATATATATATATATATATATATATATATATATACTCACACACTCACAAACATATACTATTACAACACCATGGTAAAGCCACACTCCTTTCTCGAATAATTCATTGATCATCACGTTGACGTTATATCTGATCCCGGTACTACTAACCTATAAATTCTAGACATTTACAGTATAGACCCTCCCACCCCACTTCTACCCCCCTCCACCCCCTCCGGTACCACAGCAGCATCACCCTTTGAAGCGCACCGTGCTAAGACTCCAACAGTCCGAGGCTTCAACGGTAACTCTAAGCCTAGCCCCGTAGCTAATTGTATAACACTACATCAAACCCCCGAGAATCTATTTAGTAATCGCTCTTTGATTACAGTAGTCGTTCACCTGTACTCACCACGGGGCGCTGAATGTAATCTGATGGACGTGGGAATCGTCCCTGCCAAGTGTTGTAATCGATACGGTGTTATTGTTATCGATTATGTTTAAAAATGCACCACTGCTGCGTTTATGTTCAAATGATTCTTTTTCGTCGATCCCTTTACGCTGCTGGGGTATTGTTTTGTGATTCTGCAGTTATAAAAGTTGAACACAATCCCATCCGTACAGTTAGATTGTATTTAGTACGTTAGGGTAAGGGGTATCGGATTAGTTTGGTTTCGGTTAAAAGGGAGCATGGGATGGCGTGGTCGAATGGTAGAGCATACGATTGCTAACTCGAAAGTCTCGAGTTCAAATTCAGGTTCAAGTCCGAAGAAAGTCTACCCAGCTCTTGTGCGTACTCGACTCACTTTAGGGAAAGTGGCTGGGCATAGTGCTGAACACATTATTCTTTTAGAAGCTAAAGTCTCAGAAATACTTGAAAAGGAACTTTAATAAAAGAGAGAATATGGCTAGTTAAATGTCGAACTGCATTTTCATAGTTTTTTTAACCTAGGTGGTCATTTTAGCGACGTCATTAAGCCCGAACTTCCATCTCATGAGCCCCCACCCCCAAAGAGATGCATGGAAGAAACTCTAACCCTTATTCGTCGTCTATCTTATTTCAATGATGTGGACAGTGCTAATGAAAAAAAAATGTCGATCTAAAAATGAACAAATTTTTTTACTTGGAAAAGTCTTACTGCCTGATCTTATCTATGAACTAGGCCGTAGGTCTATATTGGCCTTCGAGACACCATTTACTTTTAGCCTGCCGCTAGTATGCTATAAAAACGTACGTATTTTAAAAAATACGAATCTTTAGCATTATTCCCGTAGAAGCTGTTGTTCTGTCTATGACCTGTGGTGAGTTAAAATAATATAATCGTTGCTGATGTTCGTGTAAAAACAATTACAATTAACCGTTTAAAAATAGGTGACTATATTTTAACTATGTTCACGTTACCAAATATTTGGAAAATTATATTTTGAAAATATGATATTTTTGTTTTTAGACAGATGTAGTATCTTTATTAATATTCTGACCTAGCATTTGGCTAGCGTAGAGGTTAGGCCTGCCTAGCAGTCACCTATGGTAGCCTTTCCTTCACCGATGTTAGCCTAGCATTCGCCTATGTTAGCCTAGCATTCGCCTATGTTAGCCTAGCATTCCCCTATGTTAGCCTAACATTCACCTATGCTAGCCTAGCATTTACCGATGTTAGCCTAGCATTCGCCTATGTTAGCCTAGCATTCCCCTATGTTAGCCTAACATTCACCTATGCTAGCCTAGCATTTACCGATGTTAGCCTAGCATTCGCCTGTTAGCCTAGCATTCGCCTATGTTAGCCTAGGATTCACCTATATCAGCCTAGCTAACCACTCCATCCTACGGGTCGGTGAAGGAATTCTTTAGATGTTCTTGGTTAAAAAAGTTCACCCAGTGTATAGACAATTTAGATTGAGTAAAAAGCGACAAAAATAATGCCGAACCGGTTTAAAAAATTGAAACCAATGTGTGTGTGTGTGTGTGTGTGTGTGTGTGTGTGTGTGTGTGTGTGTGTGTGTGTGTGTGTCAAAATCACTCTGGTAACACCTTGACCACCCACACCAACCACAACACCACACTGACCACCCACACCACACTGACCACCCACACCACACTGACCACCCACACCACCCACACCACCCACACCACACTGACCACCCACACCACACTGACCACCCACACCACACTGACCACCCACACCACCCTGTCCATCCACACCACCCACACCACACTGACCACCCACACCACCCTGTCCATCCACACCACCCACACCACACTGACCACCCACACCACACTGACCACCCACACCACCCTGTCCACCCTGTCCATCTACACCACCCACACCCCAACACCCTGACCATCCCCACCACCCTGACCACCCCCACCACCCACACCACACTGACCACCCTGACCACCCACAACAACCACACCACGCTGACCACCCAAACCACCCACACCACCCTGACCAACCACACCAAACCACACCACCCACACCACCCTGACCACCTTTACCATCCTGACTCCATGTTTTGTGTTCTTTTTATAATTATACACGGATGTGTTGCTTTATAAAGGCGAATTCTGTTTAGTTTCAATGACATAAGTGACTTTTGATTGATTCCAATACAGATTTAATTAGTCTTTTTAAAGAAATTAATTTAATTATGGTAATTTCTTTTTTATTGAATTAAGTGGCTTTGGTTGGTTCCAATACAAATTTACTTCGTCTTTTTAAAGAAATTATTCATTTTTGTTGCAGATTTGCTACTTGGAAACCTTCTACATGTTACACCTTGACCCGTCTTAGGTTAATGACCTCTGCACGTGATGCAGTCAATAACACCGTGGAAAATGACGTAATCCTATTTCAGTGATTATACAATACAAGGCAGACTTTGATTGCAACAAACTGCTTTAATTTTGCAATTTCCCAACAGTGAGCATTTGAAACAAGTACACATCTTTTTGTTTTCAATTCTTCTGGATTCCTAAATCAGCTCATTTAGGTCTATCATTGTGCGCATTGATTAACGCTATACAGAAAGGGTTTTAATTTTCATTGACTAACTATAAAACGACTGGGGGTCTACAGATAAAGTGTATTATCCAGATATTCAATTGTTTGTTTTTTTTAAATCAGACATTTAGCAGCGTTATTGGTTACCAATATTATTGGTATTCAAGAAAATAAATTTTCCAGCGATACCGAAACCCCGGAATATTTCCGGTGGAGTTGGAAGCTGTTTAAATGAGACGAGATATCGGGGAGACACCATCACACCTGAGCGAGGGTTCCGAGAATTCTGAGTGCCAGAGTCTTTGAGACCATGTCGCTGTCGCACCAGTTTGGATATACGTCATACAACACCTCCAGCTCCCCGCTAAGGTCTTCACAGGTCAGTGACTTTACTTTCGTTTCTCGCTCATTTTCGGTTAGAATTTAACCGGGATGCCAGATTACTCTGACAAACATGCACACGCCATTCTCCTAGCCTTATCTCATGTACTTTAATTCATCACTAAACCAATATATTTCAAAAAAAAGAATCGATACCACAAAATAAAATTACTTAATCTAGAGGAGTGGTTCTTAAATTTTATAGAGGTACCAAACCCCACCGGTTATATATGCGCTTTACCGGACACTTCTTAACAGTTCTATTGTCCGCACTGACAAAATCCGATTGTGAATCCTATAAGTCTAGTGTGCATCTGGACCTGAGCCTAACCCCAGAGGTTCGATCGAACCTAGATTAAGAACCACTGATCTGAAGTTGTACCTTTATTAATTTCTAAACAAACTTAAGCCTAACCCTATATTTTTCGCCCTATGTAAGAGATAAATTTTAATTAGATAAATGGCAAAGTTAGTTATCACTTTATACATTATGAAGGTAAAATATAATGATGCTGTCATACCATTATAAGATGTATTGTTGTAAAAAGGGAAAAAAGTAAAGACATCCTATGGTTCAATAGGGCAGGTGAAGTAGAGTGATCTGTTTCTACGAATTCTGTTTAAAAAGGGATAGTGTGGTCAATTCAATGACTAGCCGTCTTTTATTTTTGTTGCATCATTGTTAACATTATTTTTTTTTATTTCCATTAAAAAAATAAACTAACATAGTAGGGCCTTAGTGCATTCTACCAAGGCAAAAACTCTCAACATTTTAATTTAAGCTGATCATCCATCACGTGATTAACAGACAACACACAGTAACATTGTCACACCTAAAGTAGATCTAGATACCGTTTCATAATTACCGTGTATATTAAGATTGGTGCCTATGGTTTTTTTAAACAAGAAATGTCTCCGTATAATTTCCGTCTTGGGGATTTAGATTTAAGATAGATTACATTGTTAAAATAAAATGACTGAATGACAGTGTGATACTTCATAACACATTGTTAATTATAGACTTAAGTTTCAGTTTTGTTTATGTAACTTTTATCAAGCAAGTACTAATACCTCGTTATACATTTTGGTTCCTTGATGAAGAGAAGGATTCAGATAAAGCTCTTTATAGACTTACGTTCCGTTTTTTTTTTTAAATTTAACTTTTATCATGCAAGTACTAATTCATCGTTATTCCTTGATGAACATAAGGCTTTGTTTAATGGTCATTACAGTCTTGAGTTTTAGTTTTGTTCATTTAACATTTAGTAATCAAATATTTCCTTCCTGTTCCTAGATTAACATAAGACTCCTGCTAAAGATCTTGATAGACTTCAGTTTTGGTTTTTTCATTTAACTTTTAGAAATCAAGTATTTATTTGGTTATTTCTTTCTGTTCCGAGATGAACATAAGACTTCTGTTAAAGCTCTCTCGACGGTCTCCTGTCTCTGTTTTTAATTTTTACCAGCTCAGCTGTCCTATCCTTCCAGCCACCTCGCCATGTTTTCTTTGGTCGTTATTTACGTCGTTGGCCTGAGGGTTTCTATTCTAAGTCCTGCCTGGCTTTGCTATTGTTTCCTTTTTGAGCCTGTAACCATTCCATCCCATTTTAATTTCAGGACTTACATTTTCAATGTTTTCTGTCTCGTCATGTCTATGTAGTTAAAATATACTCATAAAGCATTTATTTACAAAAATTTGTATTCTGTATTTTGTTGCTGTTGTTCTTCGTGTCTCTGATCTGTAGGGTAGATTTGCTTTCAGACTCTTTTAGCGTTTTTAGAGATGCTGATGATTTGCTGACAGGTTTAAGATGGCTTAATGCCAATTGAGTTAACTTAAGTTTATTCGGCGTTCGATATCTTTGTCACTTTTGAGTTACTGATTCCTGTTTGTAACCTTTTTTTGCTTGAGTCTTCATGTTACGTTTACTGTTTCAATTTCTTGATAACTGAGTAGATTTATTTCTTAAAGCAGAACACACGAATTGCCTATCCCAGTTTAATGTTTAATGCGGCTGGGTATAGTGCTGTCCACACTATCACTAAATATGCCAAGGTCATAGAAACAGGTGAACTCTGTTTCACCTGCCTCTTGGACGGCCAGCTTCGACAGGGAACTTTACTTTATCTTAAACGTAATACCGTTTCACTCTATTTTCACATTGTAAAATTATTCATTCCAATTACGTAAGATATTGTAAACAAAGTTTCGGATTTTTTTTAAAAGTTGAGTTTAAAACTAAATTTAACAATTAAAACCAAAGCAGTCACGTTACTGCTGTAATTAGACGGCTTTTGATTGGTTAGGTCGGCAGATAAAAGTTTGAATGCCCGACTCTGATTGGTTGATAGTGTAGATAAGAGTTTATCTTTGACCTGACACAGTTTCTAAGCGGCTGCATTTTTTTAAAGTCACGTACTATGTGAACTTAATTATTGAAATAATTAATTATCTATTTGTCTTCTGATACTTTATCTGTTTAGTTCGTTTGGACTTAATAAGGTGAAAATGTAAAGGTGAAACTCTCATGCATGCACGCAAAAAAAAAAATTAAAAGTTTTCTCTTTTTGTTTTAATTTATTTTGTTTTTGCAAAGTGGTGGTAGCATTTTTTGGTAGCTTAGTGTGCCTAGAAGCTAGCATTTAAGCTAGAATATAGCAGGTAGCACGTTTGTTGGTAATTATGTATGTCTAGAACAGCAGTTCTTAACCTTGATGAGTAAGTCTTAGGGATTCGGCAGAGGTGAAGACACATACCCGACTCATCATATGGTTCACGATAACGGATTTTATCAGAGCGGACGATAGAACTATAAAGTAGAGTTCGGAACCTCAAAAAAGGCTAAGATAGCAGGTAGCATCTTCTTTGATAGATGTGTCTAGTAGGTAGCATCTTGGCTAGCCTGTAGGAGGTAGCATCTCTGTTGATAGCTGTGTCTAGTAGGTAGCATCTTGGCTAGCCTGTAGCAGGTAGCATCTTCGTTGATAGCTGTGTCTAGTAGGTAGCATCTTGGCTAGGCTGTAACAGGTAGCATCTTCTTTGATAGATGTGTCTAGTAGGTAGCATCTTGGCTAGCCTGTAGCAGGTAGCATCTCTGTTGATAGCTGTGTCTAGTAGGTAGCATCTTGGCTAGCCTGTAGCAGGTAGCATCTTCGTTGATAGCTGTGTCTAGTAGGTAGCATCTGGGCTAGCCTGTAGCAGGTAGCATCTTTGTTGATAGCTGTGTCTAGTAGGTAGCATTTTGGCTACACTGTGCCTGAAACCAGACCTGCTGTTTTAAACATGTTTAAATGTCCGCCGGCCCATTGGCCAGCGTTGGTAGTTTGTAAAGTCCAAGTTGTCATTAATTAAATATTAATTAGTTAAACGTACTTCCTATATCCCGTAGTACTTTAACATCTGGCAAGTTAATAAAACAATCGTTTGACTTTTTTTCACTTTGGGTCTTTTTTATTCCTTCTCACAAATGATTAATCTCCTAGCTTGACTAAAGCTTTAACTCAGTCAACTCAATCTAGACCGCAATGTCAGCTTTGATACCCCGTCGTGAGTTTCATTGTCTTAGGATGTAAAATTTTTAAATGATATTTTTTACCCATTAGCGTGAATAACAAACATGTAATACACGTGTTGTTTTAGCTTTTGGTTTTTTTTTTCACGTTTTAAAACTACACCTGAAGTAACAGCGCGACAACAATTAAAATTTTCGTGAAAAAAGTCATTTTGTAATCTTTATTTCGAGGCTCGCTATTCGAGAGGGCTACACAGTATTAAAAACTAAACTCTTGTAGAACGAACGCGGTTTAACGTAATGCACAGCTTAAAAGAAGTGGTGTAAATTGATATAATTCGAGTTTAACATGATTTTGTACTTTACTTTTTCGCATGAACGGCCCTTGACGATATTTTTAACCCGTTTTCATGCCACAAATTCTTAAATCCTATAAAATATTTTTTTAACATAATAAAAAATGCTATGAATAACTAGGACCATTTTATTCAAATGTTGATTAATAGCTCGAGGTTTGTACTTTGTTTGTTTGAGCTAGGTTTAATACATGCGGGTTACAGTTGTTTCAAGCAGGCAGAGGCTAAATGGATTAGTTGTGTTGTTTGTTTACAACATCAAGCGTATCGAGGGTGTTTAGAAAATGTGCTTATAATCGCTCAGTACATGCATGCATAGCATTCACATTTGGCCGTGTCGGTAAGGTAGGGTGGAGGGGGAGATGGTGAAGAGGGGGGGGGGGTGAGGAGGGATTGATGTCCGAGTGGTTCTGGTGAGCTTCGGCCTTGTTGGGGAGGGTGTTGGGGGGGGGGGGGATAAAGTGTTTGTATTAAGGCGGAAAGAGATATGAGTAGAGCTAAATTTTGAACAATAACTTCCTTTTTTGTTAATTTGTTTTTGGTTCTGATTATGTTGTAGCTTTTTAACGCCGAAGTTCCGTTTTTATAAAGGAATGAGGTTTTTTTTTCCATTTGCGGGAGCAAGGTTTGGTTACTGTTTATTCACTTTTTTAAGTCACAGAAAGAAACTCCCAGAATTATAATATTTGGTCTTTGAAGTTTGATAATGAGTGGCACCTGAAAAAAATAAGTGGGTGGGTAGGACGGTGAGGGGGAGGGGCTGAAAGAAGTAGTAGATTGGTATCACAGGGGGGAGGCAGTCGGTGGATATGGCAAAGGGGGTGGGTAAATGAAGCCGTAGACAATAACGAAGGGAGAGGGGCTAAAAATAATGGTAAGACAAAGAAGGGTGGGACGCTTTAAAAAACAGTAGATTAGTGGGTGGTTAAATAAAATGGATAGGTATGACGAAGTCCACTATAAAAGACGCCAACAACAACACCAGACATAACTACAACAGCCGCCGCTGACCTGTAGCGATCAGCTCCACAATGATTATGGTAGTGTCTGTAACAATCGCCAACCTAAACATAAACTATCTACACCATCCTAAAGTTCGACTGTGTCAAATGGGAGGGGGAGGATTTTAT